TTTATTTCTTTATACCTTTCCTTTGTGCTAATTTATCTAGTGGTTTTGCATCTCAACTTTTATATATCTGTTGGAAGTAGATGAAAAATGAATGAATGCATAGTTCCTGTGAAAATACTTCTCTACTTCATTTACTAAGTCTTAGTCTTAAAATTAAGTAAAGTCTTTTTATTTCTAGCTACAAATCTGAAGCAGCTACACCAAGAATACCAATATCTATCTCCAAGTTACTGAAAATACGTTACACTATTTTTGAGAGTCATACTTAGTACCCTGTAATTAAACAATGAATCTTCTATGGGTCACTGATAAGGGCTTTAAGATTGGAAGACTTCAGGGTATGATGTCATGTCTGTATTTTTATGGAATATAAAAATGCATCCAGGGACTGAGCCCAACAACACTTTTCATGAGACCAGTCCCTTTATCTATGGACCAAGGAAGTAATACTATCCCTCAGTAGCTACAAACATGCTAATTTCACCTACCCATTTGAAAGTATGTAGATGGGGGTGAGAGGAAACCAGAATGGAGAAGAGATCTAAATTGTTCCCAAATAGATTCCAAGTTAGTTTAGACTCCTAGACTTAGAGATTAAAAGAAAGCAAGATGACAGAAAAGATCAGATGAATTCATGACCTTATCTCCTCTGGATCAGCCATTTTAGATTTGTTTATACACTCCATTGTCCCACTGTCTAGAGGATCCTAGGTTTCAGCAAGCACAGCTGAGCTTTGTGGGGTGTGTGTATGTGTGTGTGTGTGTGCGCACGCGCACGCGTGTGTTTGAGGGCCTGTATTCCAGTATCAACCAGAATTCTTTGCTGCATATACACTATTATAAATTATTTTCCTTTTTGGATTATCTGTGTCTCTGTTTTCCTCTCTAACTGTAGATAATTGAGAGTTGTTTGTTCTGCCTTTCTTTAGGATCCTAAAACTGAAATCTAAGTAGGAAAGGAGATGTAGAAGTGGTGGCCAGTAATTTTCCAGCTCTTTCATCCTATAACCATTTCCTTAGAAAAATGTAGCCCTCCTACAGTTCCCCCACATATTTATGCCACAAAGCAAGACTGTTGAGAAATGAAGAGCATGAGTGACTTTGGCTTGGAGAAGAGCAGAAAAGAGAAATCAAATAGTAGGACACAGAGAAAGCCTTGAAATGGTAGAATGTTTAGTATCCAGAGGCTTTGGAATGATTATCTGCATAACCTAGAAAATGGTCATTTTGCTAAACTACTCAACAGGAATGCAGAAGGTCACTAATGGCAGAGGGCATGTTGGTTCTGTTTTTCTTTCCATTATTTTCTAACAGATTTTGGGTTCTTCAGTCTAATACTCTTGGATAGGTCCTCTCCGACTTTCTCATTAACAGTGTCTGTTAGTTGCATCATTCAGTTTTTTTGTTTTTTGTTTTCTTTTTTGGGCAGGGGGAGTTGGTAGTAAAGGGATACAGGTAGGGTATAGTGGAAGGATAACAGTAAATATTCAAAGGAACTTGATTTAATTCTAAAGATGGCCATAATATAATGTGACATAACTATATTATCCACATTAGAAATAAAGTAACAAAGATTCTGAAAGTTTATGTTATATGCTCACTTAGCTAGAAAGAGAGATAAAACTGGGAGTTGAGTCCACTTTTTTCAAACTCCTACTCAAGCACTCTATACAATGGACTGGATCAAAGGAAACATTTCCTTTAAAATTATTTATTCAATTTTGTTCTCTTAGAAGGTGGTGAGTATTCATATTAAACCTGATTTATTTATTTATTTATTTATTTTTGCTATTAATCATGTGTGTTTGCTCAACTATTACTTTATTCAAGCCTTCCAACCTTGTTAAATAGGTAAAAGGAAGGAGGATTCTTTCCATTTTACAAATTAGTGGGGTTGTGCAACTTCTTTAGAGCCATACAAATTATAGCTGGGGAATGAGCAGTTAAGTCTCCTATCTCCATATTCAGAAGATGGCGATGTTCTGGCTATAGAAAAACAGTACAGAGGCCATCATTCTATGTCCAACAGCGATACACTGAGAAAAGCACACAACTTGGAGTCAGGAGATTCCAATTTTACCTCTGTATGACCTTGGACAAGTTATCCCTCTTGGCCTAATTTGCAAAAACAAACTATAAGGTCCATTTTTGTTCCAGAGTGTTTTGCTTCTGATCATAATTCAAGAGGAAATAAAGATATAAAGGAAGGATGGCTCCTATTGTGATGAGTTTTCTGGTGGTGGGCTCTGTCATTGTCAATAATTATGAGGAGGTCCTTGGGGCACGGAAGGAACTAACTTTGTTTGTGCCCACAGCCAATCATGATCACCAAGATTCTGGAGGTATATAATTGTACAGTGGCAACACATTTCATTCTTCTGGGATTTCCCACACGGCCTGCTTTCCAGCTGCTCCTCTTTTCTGTTTTCTTGGCAACGTACCTGCTGACACTGCTAGAGAACTTTCTTATCATCCTAGCCATTTGCAGTGATGGACAGCTGCACAAGCCCATGTACTTCTTTCTGAGCCAACTTTCTTTCCTGGAGATGTGGTATGTCACAGTCATCAGCCCCAAGATGCTGGTAGATTTCCTCAGCTATGACAAGAGCGTTTCTTTCAATGTCTGCATGACTCAACTTTACTTCTTTGTGACCTTTGTCTGTACTGAGTACATCCTTCTTGCTGTCATGGCCTTTGACCGCTATGTGGCCATTTGTAATCCACTATGCTACCCAATCATCATGACCAACCAGCTTTGTGGTACACTGGCTGGGGGATGCTGGTTCTGTGGACTCATTACTGCCATGATTAAGATGGTTTTCATAGCCCGACTTCACTACTGTGGCACACCTCACATCAATCACTACTTTTGTGATATCTCTCCACTCCTCAATGTTTCCAGTGAAGACTCCTCACAGGCTGAGTTGGTGGACTTCTTCTTGGCCCTCATGGTCATTGCTGTTCCCCTTTGCATAGTAGTGTCATCTTATGCCACCATCCTCACCACCATCCTCAGGATTCCTTCTGCTCAGGGCCGCCAAAAGGCATTCTCCACCTGTGCCTCTCATCTGACAGTTGTAACTCTCTTCTATTCCACTACCCTTTTCACCTATGTCCGCCCCAAGCTCATGTATACCTACAAATCCAACAAAGTCGTATCTGTGCTCTACACTGTCATTGTCCCCCTCCTCAACCCCATCATTTACTGTCTGAGAAACCACGAAGTAAAGGCAGCTCTCAAGAAGACCATATTTTACAAAGGCAGTGGGCCCAGGGAAGATAGGGCTTTGCGTGGTTAACAAACTTATAGAATCCTTTCAGGCTTGACTTGGGAGGTGATTACTACACACTTCCTCCTACAGTCTCACCTTTTGTTATCCATCAACCTCCAATACTTTAACACTGCTCTCCCTAGTGTGTATGTGTGTGTGCGCGCACGCACGTGTATGCACAAGCTTAGAAAATCATATTCCTAGGAATTAGTCTCTACTGTTAGGTCAGAAGACAAGTTTTAAACATTTTACAAAAAATATTTCAAATGAATAATAGAGAAAACAAGGAAGTAAGGAAGAAAGATACATACTCTCTTCATACAACTTACCAAAATAAATTCCAAACAGGAAAAACAAGTTAATATGAAGAATGAAACAATCTCTCTTCTTGCAGCTTACAAAAGTGCTGCTTAACACTTTATCTTTCCTAAATATAACAAACTAAGAAAGTATTTACAACCTTTATAATAATGTATAGTACCCTTAAATAAAAAAAAAGCTTTTGAAATAAACTTTTAAAAAA